GACATCAGCTGACATTGACAACATCAGCATAACCTCAAAGCAACACAGTAATATCCATAGACGCTTTCATAGCATAAGAATTACAAGAACACATCTTTTGAATAATCCAACAGAATTATTTATTTCTACACAACAGTGCAATATTATTATAATTGTTTACACTCATTAAACCTTGTTTTAAAATAAATATATTATATTTTTCAGCCTTGTCCGTTATTGATTTCCTTTAAAATTATCCTGCCGAGAGACTAATCCAGTGAACTATTGAATTGGCAGTTCGAGCCATAAGCTAACCCTTTAAATCCGAACAAAATGAATGTCTGTAGAACTATAATATAAAGTAATTGAGTAATGACGTCGGTATTCTAAAATACATTATTCGATTATAATCGAATAATTGTAATGTGTCCAATAATTTAGTAGAACAAATATGAAGAAACTGTTAATAAGGAATTTAAATCTTTATTAAGAAAAACAAAAAACAGATAATTATTTTAAGTATGTTTTTTTAAAGAAAAAGCTACTTTACACATCTAAATTAACGATAGACATATCAGAAAATAAAAAAATATCAAATAAAAAATAGTTTAAAATTATCAGTCTGATTATCATACCATATATTATTTATACCATAAATTAGATATTCATAAAAATTTATATAAGATATTAATTAATATAAGATATTAATAAAAACCGGTTTATCCCAAAATCTAGTAATATATTATAATTCATCTAATAGATTGAGAGGTAACATTTTCAGAGAGATTAACTTGCTACTTATTAACTTATTATGTGTATTACTGGATAGCAAGGCTTGAATAAACGTAACAATCCAAATCAAATTACACATATATGACGTATATAATACCAAATAATAATACATAAACATCACAAAGAATTAGTTTCATAAAAATATTGTAAATATACTTATATATATATATATATATATAATGACATAGTTATTAGTTATTTAGAGTTATTAAGTTTCGAGTTATTAAGTTTATTAGAAATATATTCTTTTGCATAATAACTAATAAAAAAATTTCGTTGTATACATTATATACATTTCACAAAATCATAGAAAGAGAGAAAGAGAGAGAGATTTATTTTTATTATTTAAAATGTATTACCAATTGAACTATAATTTAAATATACAACACAAGTCATTATAAATATTATTCGTTTATATTATTTTATTTGTATTGATTCTAAAACACTTGTTTAAAACACTTGTTTCTAAAGTACTATTAAACTATTAAATTAATGTATTCGCGTTAATTTCATTCTAGATTGTTATATTTGTATAACTTATTAATGAGATATATAATTTTATAACGAATGATTTTATTTTATGATTTTATCCTCTTGTAAGGATTAAATTGTCAATATTCAAGTATATAGTATTAATAAATAATAGGACTAAAGAAACAACCTAAATAAATTTTATTTTATAACTGACTTTATCTATTATAGAATGTAATTATAACTACACGCAATAATTTAACTTTTTCTCATACACATAAAAGTATGCTATTAATAAAATAGCACTGCATGAGCTAAAAAATCGCTTCAGAAAACGAATATTTTTTTAATATGTTTGAATTTCATTACTAAAAGCATATCTTACCATTTGATAAAAAACATATTAATATATAATTAAATAAAAATTATTTGAGTTGATTATATAAATCTCTAATTAAAATAATATTATATTTCAATTAAAATAACGTGTTTTTATTTAATTATCATTTTTAAAAGTTTTTATAATTTTTTCAATTTTAGTGATTCAATTTAGTAATTTAGTATTCTATTGTGTTTAAAATACTTCCAGTTTATATTAATACTACTAATAAAATTAAAATTGTATTAAATTCGTTGAATAAAATTTCATCAAATCATGGAAAGTTTGCTTTTTCGTCACATTTATACATGTGGTATTAATGAATTAATTTTTAATATAAAACTTTTACTACAATTATATACATTAAAAATGTATTATAATTGATTAAATTATTAATATGTATGTATATAATATGTAATTAAATAATTAACTGTATAAATAACATTAGTTATCAAAAAATATATATTTATATATTACGTTTTTTAAAAGATATGTAAATAACAATATTAATTACAAAGATATTAAAATAATAATAATAAAAGGATATTTATAACTCATTAAATAAAAAAAATATATATTAACACATAAATTAATACGTAACTTTTTCTTTTAAATTACGTATTATGTTTAACACATCATTTACGCAATAATTAACTTAAATAAACTGAATTCTATTAAAAATTAAAAAAATAGTTAAATAAACATAATTATAATTTCAATTTTTGAATATTATTGTATATATTAAATTTACTAAAATAGAATTCTAAATTTAATATGAATTTTGTATCTATAAATTTTAATAAATAAATATAAATTCTGTAAAGAAATTTGAACATATCTTATATTTAATTTTTTGTCGTTTTTTTTTGACGTTTTTGTTAAAATGCGCATTCAATTTTAATGTATTTTATATATCGCTAATGATTATATTATATGTGTAATACACTAAGTATTTTAAGTGATTCATATGTTTATAGTAGTATGCATGACAATATAATAATGTCAAATAGATACTAAGAATATATAATTTAATTCTGTTAATAAACTATATAAATAATTAAAGTTTATAGCTATTAAATATATAGCTCTTATAGCTAATAAATTAGTAATAAATATATAGGAAGTCTTGGCATCCTTTAATATTATTATAAATAAGTTGAAATTTACATCCATTCTTATTTAAGCACAATCATTTATAATATGATATATAAAAGTAAATAAAATTAAATCAATGATTAAAAATAAATAAATAATACACATTTTAATCATATAAAACAATAAAAATCAACTAAATTAATACTTTGCACTACGAAATTGTAGATGTGTATAAAAGTCATTCTTTCTATAAATTTTTTTTAAATGGCTTTGATAGGTATATTAAAGTTACCCAATCTTCTATAACTTTTTTTTTTTTATAATATAGCAAGAATAATATTTAATAGTAAATAAGAATAAAAATGTCAATAGTGTTAAAAAATTCCGTTATAGAAATGTTTTTCATTTTCTTATAATTAATTCATTTAATATTAACTAAAATTATATTGATAGCTCTCATTTCATGCCACATATATAAAGATTCAATAAAGATTAAGTATATTAATAAAATCTATTTGATATTTTAAAATTTCTAAAAGTAATTAATGAATTTTATTATTATGAAAGTTTAAATAAAAGGATATTATCAATTTATTTTAAATTAATTCAATGAAAATTTGTAGATGCATTCAATCACTAAAAATACTAATCTTAATATTTATATTTTAAAATTACAATATTTAGGTATTGTTTATGTATTAAAAGAGTAATATAAAAAAGTACTTTCTACTAGCTGATAAAATTACTATTAAATTTAACAATGATTTATATATATTACTTAAAATAAATTTAATAATAAATTAATAAATTAAACGTTGTTTTATAATAAACTAAAAATCCTAATACCGATACATTAATTATTCAACCCTTACTCATTTATAATTTACTAAAATATTAATATATTTAAAAAATTTAAATAAAATAATTTGTTCATATATATTTATGCATATATATTTAATACACTAATTATAACTTATATTAATTTAAATATATCTTTCAATTATAGATATTGTTACGTTGATATTAGGATTATATTTATATGTAAATATACATAGGTATGCACTTATAAAATACGTTAATGCACAGCAGGAGATTTATGGATATATAAAAAATAAGTAAATTCATTCCGTTTAAATTGGACACTAATCTTCTTGAAGAGCTTATGTACTGCTTAACTAATACTTTCGTTACATTTAAAAAGTAAAAACTTAATTAACTGTATTACTATGTCTTTAATATACATATCGCTTTCTTTATTTATTTTAAGAAATGTAATAATTATCAACTCATTACTTATTGAAAACTGTGAAATGTTAAATTCAGAAATACATATTATAAAAGGTAAATATACACACACTTTGTATATGTACTTTATATATATATATATATATATATATATATAAAACTTTGTTAAGATGAATACAGTGAATCTGGGAAATTAGAAAAAACCTGTAATGGAGACATTTTAGTATCAAAATGTGAAGGATATTGTAATTCTCAAGTTCAACCCAGTATAGTGACGTCAACAGGATTTTTAAAAGTATAGACTCTAATGCATTTTATATAGATATATAAAAAATATTTAAGAACGTGCTATATAAATTATCATTATGTATAATAAATTATGATTATATAAAATATACAAAATATCTTAGATATATACGTATATATATATATATATATATATATATATATATGCATTGTATAAACTTATAATATAAACAGAATATTTAATACTATGCATTCTGAGGCATAATATTTATATACAATATATTTATATACATAAATAAATGGGAATTTTAATTTAAAAAAAGTAACTACTTAATATATTAAGTTTTTGTTATTTTATTTCATAACGGCCATATTAAATTATAACATATTCATAATATAATGAAAACAAATTGTGTCTTTAAATAAAAATCAAGTCTTTTAATTTTTAATATTTTAACATTTTTGTATTAAAAATGTAAATATGTTTGTTAAAATATTAACATATTATGATTATTAGTATTTTCTCTATATTTTGATTACAAAAATTCTTGTTTTCACTTAGAAATTAATATATTTGTATTAACTATATAAGTTATATTTAAATAAAATAGAACCACAAGATTAGTTTTTATAACAAAATCAGTATTATGTCCACGTTTATAAGTGATTACATATAAAACTTGTGACAGACATCTCTATTATAACTTCTGAAATTTATAATTATTATTTTTTTTTAGTTAATATTCTAATTATTTCAATAAGCTCTCATTAACTGAATTGATTTAATGATATACATACAATTATATATAAATGGTTCGGATATTTTAAAATTATTTAATGTTTTATATCAATCGGATTGATTTACTAGGAAATTTTAATTTATTATTAAAATTAATAAATTAACTTTTTTTTTACTTATATATTTTGATAAAATTATTAGTGATTCTTTATTACGTTTGAATTTTACTTTTATATAACTTCTTATTAATATATTTGTTTTATATTACTTTTATTGAAACTAATATAAATATCTAATAAATATTATTTCAATCTTCTAAAATTCTATGTTACCATAAAAATTGTTTTTGCATAAAAATTAAGTATAATATTTTCAACAAATTAAATGATTATTACGTGTTATTTGCAAACATGACAACTTTTAATTGTCTTTCTAATATAGTTATTGAAGATACAATGATCATTCATCATCAAACACATAGATTTTCATATTGAATTGATTACTTTATCATATATCAGTTAATAAAAAGGAATAACTATGTACTTATTTTTTAGTATTATCATTACAAGTCATTACATACATTATTATCATACAAGTCATACAAGTTATAGTCATTACAAGTTTCTTGTAATTTTTTATATAATTTGTGTTTCTTTAGAAATTTCATTATTTGGTAAATATTTACTTTAAACTAAATAAATTTTCTTCTTTAATCGTCAAAACTATACAATAGTTACATTTATTATAAAAATAAAGAATTTAAATTAAGAACCTTTCATTTTTCGGGTTGTTAAAATATTTATAATTAAATTGATAAATCCATGCAGATATATGCATTTCTACTTGTATATGTATCTATGTAATTTTTTTCAGGAATGTTTTTGTTGTCGAGAAATCTATTTAAAAGAAGTTATAATCCTTTTAGATCATTGTTATGATGCAAACGGAGTAAGAATTCACCAAGAAAACGAAGCTACTTTGGAAGTGAAAATAAGAACCCCTGGAGGATGTAAATGTATTAAATGCGGATTTTTTTAGTTCAAATTAAAACTATTTATTATTAAAGATGAAGTGTGAATATTTTTTTAATTTTACTTCATATACAAATATACTTATATATATGTATATATATATATACATATATATATATATATACAATATACTTATATATAATTATATATGTAAAAACTGAATCTAATTCTATAAATTTTATTTGAAATGATTTTGTACATATAGAAATTAGTATTTTTCGTATTTATTGTAATTTGATAATATAATAAAAAATGTATTGATTCTTCATGTATAAAAATGTGTATTGGAAAGTTTTAGAAATAGTAGATTGATTATTTATTAATTAATAATTTTCAACCATAAATTATTATGTATTAAAAATAATTATTAATATTTTCATACCATAACTGAATATTTTAATAGTAATAATAATATTCTAAATATTTTATTACTTTATTAGTGAGTTTTATATTATTAATATATTAAATTTAAAATCCTGAATTAAAATTAAATTTTATTTTCAAAACATTATATTACTTACAGGTACTTTTTTGACAAATTTAACCATATAATAAATTACCATTTTTCGATTTTAAAGGTTTAGTTTATGGCTCGAACTACCATTTCAATAGTTCAGTGGATTAGTCTCTCGGTAGGATAATTTTAAAGGAAATAATAATTGACAAGGCTGAAAAATATCATGTATTTAGTAAAACAATGTTTATTATTGTAAATGATTGTAATTATATTGCACTGTTGTGCAGAGAGAGATAATTATATTGAAGTAATGAGGGTGTGTTCTTGTATTCTTGATTATTGTAGATTCTATGGATATTACTGTCTTGCAATTGAGGTTATGTCGATTTTGTAAATATCAGCTGATGTAGTCAGTCAATCATGCTTGTGAGGTAGCATGAGAAGATAGTAGTTGAATCAAGTATGATTGATGTATGAATAATTATACTTGATGTGGTGTAAGATGTATAATGGAATTTATTAAGTAATCAATTGCGTCTTTAATTATTTATGAGGACAGTAGAAGAATCTAGTCACAGGTAAGAGTAGTTAATGGTAAGATTTTGAGCTCTTGAAGGATTTGATAATCTGTAGTTATTGTCTTTAGTCGATCTGTTGTTGTCCTTGACAACGTACGTAAATCACAGTGACACTTGTGTCAGCTGTTGAGAGCCTATACGATGTAGAAGTGTTAGTTCGAGAGAGTGTAAGTGTTCGGGATTGAAGCAGTCCCATGAATTTCAAACAAAAGAAAGGTCATTTACGCAGCCCGGCGTACCGCATGTGCGCCTAGACTGACCGCGCGTGCAGCAAGGCTGGCCACCACGTGCGCCTAGGCTGATCCGCACGTGCGGACCGAGGCGGGCACTCGAGAAAATGTTTACAAACAAAACTCGGCAAGTCCGAGCAAGTTTACGATTTGAAATATTATTTACTGCCAGCACTCACAAAAAAGGGACGCCTTCGAAACTTCTAGAAGCTTCGTTTTCTCACGCCAAAGGAAAATTTCTGGAAGGGACGCGCATCGACACTGTTGCCGGCGCTGAAGACGCCGCATGCACATTTAAGCGCAACGCGCCATGAGGCGAAGCTCATTCGTAAA